CACGACCGGTTGTTATCTTCTATCTATCTATAGTTGGTTCAAATAGGATCTCGAAGGAAATTGTTATTTTCAATTATGTTTCATATTTTGATGATATGAACTGAACGTTCATGTTGGCATTTTGAGATCTTGAAATTTGCTTAACACTAATGGGTGTCGGTCATTAGTCAGCTTTGACACTAACCAACGGGAGTTGGTCGGTCACAGCCAATAGATATTGGGCGACTCTGAGTTGATTCTCGACATCTATGTTTCTTTTTTAACCATTTTTATATACAGTATTATTTAAGCAAAACTTTTCTTTTCTACGAAGGACGTTAACTGATGTTGTTAAAATTCTGGCAAGGTAATACTCTTGACCTTCACGTGCTATCCAATAGTTATATGCAGTAAGTCGTTGTTGTTGCCTTTTTGCTTACATTCCCATATAGCACCAATTTCAAATTCTCAAATCTTGCTTTCAAAATTCTCTGCCCCCGTTTTCTAAAACCTTCTTCTTGAACCGGAGCTAGAGGCTCGAGCATACGTCGCTTGGCCGTAGGCGACACAGTAACGAATAAGCATAATTCACTTGTTACTGGAAAGTGAGTGCTGCACAATCGCAAGTCCGCTACCATCAAAGTGCGATTGTGATAAGTACTCTCAGAGGAAATTAGTATAGCAAGAATTAGACTTGGTTGGACTAAACGTCCCCCAATGGTAGTATAGTATTGATATAACATTTCAATTAGGGTTTTATTGATTCCGTTTTGGATCAGGACAAAAGAGGACCAAATCGAACCGTAGGCTAGACCAAGATTACAAGAACTAGGGCTCGTTGGGTGTGTCTCGTACGACACTGTAGTTAGAAAAATGTTAAAATTTAGTTCCTATGGTTCGATAAAAAATCTCGAATAATGACAACCAAAAAATGCCAAAAAGAAGGCTAAGGTTTGTTTCTTCCACCAATCCCACGTGTAGGACACCCTATCACTTGTATGCCCACCATCTTTTATCATCCTTTCTTCTCTTATCATCTCATACTAGACAATCACCTCTTAATTATAAGCCATTTTTTTATGGGCCTCTTATTTTCGTATTAGATGTTTTATTTATTTATTTATTTATAAACATAACTGGACACAAATTTGAAAGTTCAAGATTTCGTCAACAAAAAAAGTTAATTTTATGCATTATACGATCCCACATTGGCTGGAGAGGAGAACGAAACATTCGTTATAAGGGGGTGAAGACTTCTTTCTAGTAAACGCATTTTAAAAATCTTGAGGAAAACCTAAAAAAATGACAATATCTGTTGGCGATGAGGGAAACCTCAAAAAGAACAAACCATATCTACTAGCGGTAGACTTAGGCTGTTACAAATAGTATAAGAGCCCGAACTCTTGAGGGAAACCTCAAAAAGAACAATATCTGCTAGGTGTAGACTTGGGGAAATCTCAAAAAGAACAATATCTGCTAGGGGTAGACTTACGGAAATATCAAAAAGGACAATATCTACTAGCGTTGGACTTAGGCTATTACAAATAGTATAAGAGCCAACACTCTTGAGGGAAACCTCAAAGGCTATTACAAATAGTATAAGAGCCAACACTCTTGAGGGAAACCTCAAAAAAGACAATATCTGCTAGCGGTGGACTGGGTCTCCAAAGGGTTGATTGTGAAATCTCATATTGGTTGAGACCTCACATGCATAATATATCAATTAATTATTTAAAGTTTCGAGACAAAAGTTGAAATCTAACTAAAGTTCGTAGCATTTGCGTCGATGTTCTAGACCACATATCGTAACTTTATAATTTAGGGATTTTACTTTAAACCTTGTCACTCATATTTTATAAACAAATATGCATTTTTCACCGTCCTATATCATAAATATATGAAAGAAAAGGATGAACACACAAAACAAAAGCAAATTAATTGGAAAAGAAGAACAAAAGAAAATGAAAACAGTTCAAAAAGATGAAGATGTTGTTATCGCATTATTGAGAGATGTCTCTCAAGGGCTGTAGGGGGAAGGGGGCAGCTCACATGTGCTGTTTACATGGCAATGTCTCTGTTTTTTTCCTCTCAAGTGCCCTGCAGTCTGCAACACCCTAACCCCTTCCATTTATGAAACAATATCAAACCCATGAGCGAGAGATAGAGATGGGTCCTCCAAAGAACTGCTTATTTCAAGGTGCTGAATTTAATGCTCAGTTCTTTTTGGCAGAAGCAGCTACACATGTGTGTAAGGCTCTTGTCATTGCAACTGCCAATGGTAAAACGGGTAAAACTAGAGACTATCTAGGAAGATTTTTGTAACCGCTACTATGCACCGTTAGTAGATACTGTCTTCTTTAGACTTTTCTTTTCGAGGTTTTCTTCAAAGTTTTTAAAACGCAACTACTAGAAAGAGGTTTCCATACTCTTATAAAGAATGTTTCGTTTCCCTATCTCACCAATATGGGATCTCACAATCTACCCCCTCTTCAGAGACCTGGTATCCTCACTAACACTCGTTTTTCTCTCCAATCGATGTGGTATCTCGTAATCCACCCCCTTTGAAACCCAACGTCCTTGCTGGCACACTATCCAGTGTCTAGCTCTTATACCATTTGTTACAGCCTAAGCCCACTACTAGCAGACATTTTCCTATTTGGGCTTTTCCTTTCGAACTTCCACTCAACATTGTTAAAACGTGTCTGCTAGGAAAAAGTTTTGACACCCTTATAAAGAATGATTCATTCTTCTCTCCAAACCGATATAGGACCTCACAATTTTATCGAATTATAGAGGCTATTAATGAAGTTCTATCAAATTCTAACATATATTTCTATTCATTGTGCACACAGTTTCACCAATATAGAAGAAGGAAGGTTCAAACGTCTAATCTTTTGTTCGATCTTTTAAGTAAGCTAACCAGCTATCTATCCTATGTTCTAGGCCATAACAGCACCTTTGAAGAATAACTTAGGGCTGGTGAAGTAGAGTAATATATGAGTGAATGACTTGCTAAGTTGTGAGTGGAAAGCGTAGGTGGTGGTTTCAAATGCTAATTCTGACTTCTGATCACTGACTCTGATATGGTAAAGCACTGATTGGGGTAGCAGCAAAGATGGGAGAGCACATGAGTTGTTCAGATGGATATGCCAAATCTCAATGAAGAAGAAGCATGACAGTTTTTTTTTTGGGAGCAATCCCCTGTTTTGGTAAAAGGAGACACATTATTAACTGTGTGAAGTGGTGCAGGTGTTCTTACACTAGCTGAAACTCTCACAGAAAAGCAATCAAACTTGGACGACCCACTCGTTTTCGAGTCAACATGTCATTATGAGAAGGCACGAATTATCATAAAACATAAACCAGACACTAACATGAGTTAGGTAAAGGCACGAATTATCAATTCAAATGTCAGTAGTTCGATCATCATCTCTATAATTTAAATAAGAGATTCAAGAAAAAAGGTTTACCTTCCCTCCAATAAGGTCGGTCGATGAACTCCAACCCGTTATATTGTGTAGCTTGTTTCCTGATCCTTGTGGTTTTAATGTAGAAACTATACCCCAACTCGTACATTTATAGTTTACGACGTATCAAAAGATGGCAATGTTTTAAGACACTAATATGAGCTGTATCATTTCAAATGTTAGTAGTTCAATCATCATCCCTATAATGTAAGTAAGAGAATCAAGAAAAAAGGTCTGGCTCCCCTCAAACAAGGTCGACGATGAACTCCAACCTGTTCTATCGTGTGGCTTGTTTTTTGATCCTCATGATTCTAATGTAGAAACTATACCCCAGCTCGTATATTTATAGTTTACGACATATCGAAAGCTGGCAATATGTTAAGATTCCACCTCTCATTCTGATATAACATTTCAGAATAAGGGGTATTATACGTGGGACGTGGTCCTCCAATTGGGGGCCATTGGGAACTTGGGGACCAAAACATGCCATTCATGGATGTTTTTTGATCCTCCAAAACAACAAAGAAACTTATGGCCCTGACCTGACATAACAGTGTTAAATATAGTACCAATTCAATACTCCCCACAAAAGTAATAACCTTTTTCTTTCATACTTCTTCCATCACATAAGCCTGCCTCTAAATTACAAAACATTACACAAAATCAAAGATTTGCAGCAGAAAATAGAATTGGACCATAAGAAAATGATAAGAGAAAATGAACACGAGAAACATCGGTTATTATCTATAACATTATACCACCATATTAGTAGCCAACCTCGACATACTAACCTAGTTTAAAGCATATACCCTCGATCAAGAGTTCATTGGAACAATAACTTAGATGAATCAAACAATAATTGAAGATACTAAATCATCATAACCAAAAAGTTGAGCCTAAATTCTTCATTATTGTGGTAGTTAGTTCAGAAGTGAAAGGACCCAGATCCACCGCTAGTAGATATTGTCCTCTTTGGGCTTTTCCTTTCGGGCTTCCCCTTAAGGCTTTAAAACGCGTCTACCAGGAAGGTTTCCACACCCTTATAAATGGTGGTTTGTTCTCCTCCTCAACCAATGTGCGACATCACAATCCACCCCCCTACGGGGCCCAGCGACCTCGCTGGCACTCTTTCCTTCCTCCAATCGATGTGGGACCGCCCCCAAATCCACCCCTCTTTGGGGCCCAACGTCCTTATTGACACACCGCCTCGTGTCTACCCCCTTCGGGGAACAGCGAGAAGGCTAGCACATCATCCGATGTCTGGCTCTGATACCATTTGTAACGACCCATATCCACCGCTGGTAGATATTATCCTCTTTGGGCTTTCCCTTTCGGGCTTCCCCTCAAGGCTTTAAAACGCGTCTACCAAGAGAAGGTTTCCACACCTTTATAAAGGGTGGTTTGTTCTCCTCCTCAACCAACGTGGGACATGACATCAAGCTCAATTCGTCCTATTCTCATCATCCTATTCTCATCATGGAGTTAGTAACCTAATTCATTAGAGAGAGAGAGAGAGAGAGAGGGCAGAATGCTGGCAGAGACCTAATGATAATGACAAAGTGGAAATAATGATGGGATCATCATAATCATTCAGTATCAAATATATAAACCATCCAATTGGATATAATTTACATTCCCCAAATCTAAAAACTCAAGGACAACTCTTTCTGAAATAAACTTTAACAATCAAATCTCAATTTCATCTTATTGAACCTTAACATTGAATAAGTGGTGAAATCAACCTCTTTGAACCAAGACACAGAGCAATCAGACAATAAAACATCTAAATCAAGCTACAAAACACACAAATCCCACAAAAATACAGACTCAACCATGAACAGAACACCCAAACAATGCCCAGATCCAATATCAGAATAGCCAAATCCAAAAGAAAGAGGAAGAAGAAAGCCTATGATAACCAGAAAATCAACCCTCACAGAGACAGCATATGGCATTAATTTCACCACTTATTCACGCTCGGAGTTCAATTGAATGAGATTGAGAGTTTGAGGTTAAAAACAAATTTCCCCCAGAAAAATCAACAGAGGGAAAGGGAAACGCTACTCTGTCAAAAATCATAGCAGTCGACATGCTCCATAAATAGTATATATACTGATCTAATGCTTCCTCTATGCCTGCCATTTACCAAAAATTTCATTCGCAAACAAATGAACACCGCCCCCCCCCCACACAAAAAAAAAGACCCAAAGGAAAAGCTTACCAACATTTCACATTCTTCAAGATCATGCAGAGTATATTTACAGGGAATAATATGCTATCTATGTGTTTGAATGGCCAACCCTTTTACCCGAGTGTTATGCTACGAAACTACACCGAGAACTCTTATCAGATCAGACTTCTGTTCTGTTGTAAGCCTTGATGGATACTTGACATCAAACTTGATTCTCAAATTTCCCTTCTTCCCAAGTTCCTTAGAGATTGGCATTCCTTCATTTGCCAGAACCATCTCATCACCAGGTTTGACAATATCTGTTATATGGATCATAAGATTCCTTCCATCCAGAGAAGTAAGTTCAAGAGTTTTACCTGTGAGTGATTCCAGCAATGTTAATTCACGGTTCACTAGTAGATCATTCCCATCCCTCCGGTATATAGCATGTGGTTTCTCATCCACTACGAATATAAGATCTGCGGGAATGATGCCTGGCTCCTGATTTCCCTTCTGAGGAAAAGTAATCTTTGTCCCTTTCTTCCACCCGGGTTTTATATCAATTGTCAATATCTCTTCAACCGTCCGGGACTTGCTGCAGAAGAGATTTGATCAACGTCAGATCAGATATAAACCTCGAGGCAAATTCTTTCACAACAGGATAAAATATATCACACTTAAGCCTGACAAACATTACTAAAAAACCACCAGTACTCATCCAAGGTATAGTTTCAATCAACTACATTAGTTGGATCTGGAGACAAAAGGATGACATTTCTAAACTTAGCTGTCACAGAAGGGAGAAGTCAATTGATAGCCATCCCGAAGCATGCATGTGAGACAATTGCAACGCCACCAAGGCAGAAAGAATACACGATTGTTCAAGAACTTGTATCTATACTCTGAGACTCGTTACCATGCCTGCATACGCCTTAGACTGAATATAGACACGGTAAAATAAATGGTTCATGCATTTGAAGAACTGATAACCGTTCAATATGTTAAAACTAGACAATTTATCTTCATAAGAACAGCTGATATCTTTTATACCCAAAATTAGCCTAGTTATTGAATCCACGAGTGTGGTAAGTTCAAAGTAACTATGGAAAACAGTGTAGGAGATGCGAAAACCGGTCATCTATGATATGTTATCTGATAATAACAAGGATTTAAACTTCGAACCTTGTAGAAAATGCACCTAACAGTAAAATGGTTGACTCTCACAAAATGTTTTCAAAGGCCAAAGGCAGCTTCAAAGGATCATTCTTAATAGTATTGGTTTATGCTTAAAAAAATTGCCTTTAGCATACTTTTAATCCTTCTAGGAGTAGACAATAAACTAATTTAACTCTTCTTATACCATTATACAAGGCCGAAGGACTCAAAACCTCCCAGCCTTAATGTGTTCATAAGGAGGCACAAGCTTCTTCCACAATAGGCTATGATCCCAAGGAATAACTTCAAGGCTAAAAATTTGTCTTGCCCCAAAGAGAGGTATAAGCAAAAATAACTTCATAAAACATTGTTAACATATATTAGGCTCGAGAATTATTCGAGGAATGTATAGAAACCCAATGTACAAGGTCGGTCAGCCTACCGAGAAGTCAACTACGATCAAATCACGTAATTCTAACAGAACGAAAAGGGGGCTAAAGGACAATCAGTAGTAGAAATTCTTACTGCCAGCATGAACAATTGACAGGTGACTCCATCTCAATAGACATACAAATTCTTCAACCTTCTTTGAGATAGAACTCCATTGAAAAAGCAAAGGGGTCACCGTCAAAACACAGGCTCTTATCCAAAGAATTCAGTAACCACATACAATCCACAAGAGAGGGTATGCAATGAAGAACAACCCAAATACCAAATTAAACATGCAAGCTTGATTTTGTTCTATAAGAATCATAAACAACACAACACTCAGTTGAAAATGGAAAGAGGCAAATCAAAAAGGCACATACCCAGAGGCATCATACACGTTCCTCGAAATCCTCATCTTCTTCTTAGCGCCTTTGTAGAGCTCCTCCAAGCTACAAGGCAACGTATTCTCAACAGCAGCAGCCTTCCTCCCACGAGCACCACTCCCATTCTCCGTCCCATTCTGAAACCTAAAAAACGCATCCCTAGCCCCTCTGCCCTTCCCTCCCCCCTCGCTATTACTCCCTCCACCACCCTCCGATCCAAAAAATTCGGCGTAAATATCATCCGCATTCCTAGGTTTAAACTTAAATGTCGAAGTATTAGGATGCTGGCGTTGAAAATGCTGGTAAACCGGAGTATACGTGGAGGAGGACGTCGCTTGAGGTGTAGGCGGTGGAATCTTACCGGACTTGAGGGTTTCTTCGCCGTAAAGGTCGTAGATCTGACGCTTCTGAGGATCGCTAAGAACATCATAAGCCTCTGAAATTTGCTTGAACTTGGCCTCAGCTTCTTGTTTGTTTGCTGGGTTCTTGTCTGGATGCCAAAACAACGCTAATCTCTTGTAAGCTCTCTTCAAATCTTCATCGCTAGCGCTTCGACTCACTTTCAGAATGTTATAGTAATCCTTCCCCATAGCTCTGTTTCTCTGTAAAGAAGAAGAAAAATTCGTCCCTCTTTCTCTCTTCTTCTTCTTCGTCGTCTTCGCTCTCTCTCTCTCTCTCTCTCTGCGGGTTTTGTGTTTCTCGCCGGAAATTGGGAAGAAGCAAAAGTAGCCGTCGGATGAGTAACAGACAGAGAATCCAGCTCCGAATCTGACGGTTATTTGGAAGGAATTAATGTAAGAAAAGAATATTGTGTCGTGGGACCCACGACAAGGTGAATTCGGGTTATTACCCGTTAAGGGGGCGCGAAACCCGACCCGGTTTAGGTTGCTTTACTTTAATATTAAATTAATAAAAATATTCTTGAAAGATCTCTCAAAGTTTCAATTATAAGTTTGGTTTGAAATAGGATTTTTAAAACAAAATATTAAATATATTTTTTAATTTCTTTTTAATTTAAGAGTATTTTGTACATTTATATGAATTTTTTTAAACCTAAACGACCAATTATGAGATCATATAGACATCGATGTTTAATTTATGACTTAGATATCTCTTATTTTCTAAGTTTTAGTATGATACTTACGAGACCATGCGATTAGCATTTCAATAATATTTTCTTCTTCAAACGTATTGATTTGACCCCATAAGCAGGACCACTATCCCACAGCTTGCCACCCGAAGTTAAAAGTTTTGAGATCTATTAGACACTCTAAAAAATTACGAGACCAAATAGATAATAACGTAAAAAATATCTAATGATATATAGATTATAAAATTTTCAAATTTCCATGATGATCTGAGATCTAATGAAATTGAACAAAAAGCACTGATTATTTGGGTAAGGAAAATTTATGGCTGAGAGTAAGAAGTGAGTAAAATCCACAAGTTTCAGTCGGTGGATAGCCCTATTGAAAGTGATAGAAATAACAAAACTTTGAATACAAACCATCATTAATGGGGTTGATTTTACTCCACCTTAAGACACATTAACCTGGCAAATGTCGATCCAAATGTCGAGGATGGTCAGGAGAAAGTCCTACATGGATTTATAAGTAAGGAATATACCTCTATTGGTACGAGGTCTTTTGAAAAAATGCAAAGTAAATCTACGAGAATTTATGATTTTCAAATGTCGAACAAAGGGTGTACGTCGTTCGATGACTCAAAGTCGACAATATCATACCATTGTAAAGGCCTGTGATTTCTAACACCAAATATGAGATGCATGAACCTAAGGGTGTCATCTAAAATCATTAAATTTGGAGTGTTTCCAATCTGTACAAACAGAAATCATTAAATTTTTTTGCTCAAACTCAGATCCCAACAAGCAATTCTACCATCTTCTTCTTCTACTTCATCTTCTTCTTCTTCTTTTTTTCTCTTTGGTGTTTATGTTTTTACCCTTCTTTCAAAGTTACGAAGGTTCAGTAAATCATCACAGGTAAATAATGTAAGAAAAATATACAGGTAAAAAGGATTTCAGGGGTAAAATGTCTATTTACTGTACCTCCATGAGATCCAGGAGAAGATTTGCTCCAATGGTGGAAGAAGCTCATCCTGGTACATATAAATCTTGCCGTTTGAAAACTAAGATCAGAAAATGAATTTACTTCACACCACAACGGCTTTTCCTGTGATCCCATCATGAAGTTGCAACGATCCGTCTTTCATTAGGTTCAGACTCAAACTCTTGAACCTTTCTCTTGAGTACTGCCTTGATGCCTTTCGCCAATCTGTTCCAGTTTTCATCATGGCCACGAACTCGTCGTAACTTATTCGTCCGTCCTGAAAATTAGTAAACACTGATCATACACGTTGTTGTGCAATAGCTCCATTAAAATTACAGTAATTATCTAGATGAACAGGACTCTCGACTCTCCACAATGGTTTGATATTGTCCACTTTGAGCATAAACTCTCATGGGGCTTTGGGCTTCTCCAAAAGGCCTCACACCAATGTAGAGAGTATTCATTCAATGGTTTGATATTGTCCACTTTGAGCATAAGCTCTCGCGGCTTTGCTTTGGGCTTCTCCAAAAGGCCTCACACCAATGGAGAGAGTATTCTTTGATTATAAACACATGAACATTTCCTAAATTAGGAGATGTGGGACTTTCATCATCCAACACTCCTATCCCCTCTTGAGCTTTTCGACGAACAAGTTGTGAAGTAGTTGCCATAATTTTAATAGCTATTCTTTATTTTCAGCCCAAATTCACTACTAGCCGATATTGTCCGCTTTGACCCGTTATGTATTGCCGCACGCATCTGTTAGAGAGAGGTTTCTACACCCTTTTAAGGAATGTTTCGTTCTCCCCTCCAACTAATGTGGGATCTCACAATCCACCCCCTTAAGGATCCAGTGTCCTCGCTGGCATATCACTTCATATCTGGCTCTGATATCATTTGTAACTGCCCAAGTGCTAGTAAATATTGTCCGCTTAGGCCCGTTACGTATCATTGTCAGTCTCACAATTCTTAAATGTGTCTATTAGGGAGAGATTCCCACGTCCTTATAAGGAATGTTTCAATTTTCCTCTCCAACCGATGTGGGATCTCACAATCCACCTCCTTTGTGCACACATCAGCTACTCTCATGAGACAACTATGTAATCGTTGGGATATTAAATTAGGTTGTTATTGGTCTTATTGATAATGGCGATTTAATTTTGTCTCTAAATTGATATACCTAAAGTAGAGCAAACACAAATTGTGTTTTTCTTTTGGTTTATGGGAGAATCGAGTCGAGAGATAGAAAATGAGTGGACTAGAAGTCTCACCTTATCTGTGTCAACCTCGCGCATGATCTCATTCAGCACATCACTATCCGTTTCACTTGCTTCATCCGCTAAGGCTTTCCGTAGCTCATCTAATTCAATGAATCCACTTTCATTTTTATCAAAAAACATAAATGCTCTGCGAAAATGCTCGTCATTTTCCATCCTCTGCAAGTGGATTGTAACTGCTACAAACTCTCCATAATCCAGTACACCATTACCATCAACATCAGCCTGTCAAGAAGAGACGATAATTCATAATATGTAATATCTGTTAGATGAACACAACTCTACACAATGGTATGATATTAAGCTCTCGTGGCTTTGCTTTGGCTTCTCCCAAAGGCCTCATACCAATAGAGAAAGTATTCTTTGATTATAAACCCATGATTATTCCCTAAATTAACCGAGGTGGGACTTTCACCATCCAACAATATCAATGTAATTCTAACTTAATTCAAGTAGAAGAAAAGTTTGCATCTCTAGTTATCAGTCAGCATTTCACGTCAAATGTTCGAAGATAAAAATGGTTGAAATGAATTCCTATTCCAACAGTACATTAGGAAAGAACATGGGGAAGAACATTGCGATTTGGAAACACAAGATCAGGAAAAGTAATAATTGGAAAGCTCACGAATCATTCAAGTAAAAAGAGTAAGCATAGATTAAGCATACTCAGGGATAAACTTGAAACCATAAAACAAATTCCAGACTGCATTTTAGAACATAGAAATTTACCACTTCCATGAGCATTTTCATCTCGGGCTCACCCAATTGTGAGCCGACCTTTTTTAGCCCTGCCTTCAGTTCCTCAAAAGATACCTTCCCATCATTGTCGGTGTCCATCAAAGAAAACATATCTCTGATCACTTCAACTTCTTCAACAGATAAGTGCACTGCTATCACCTAAACATATTAGAAATTCAAGTATCTCCTAGTTAATATGAATTCCATCACTGTAATAACAAGCAGTAATTTTTTTTTTTAAGAGTTCACCAACGACCCTTAATGTACGTGCATGATGTCTTAACCAGTTGATACTCAAGATGGCAATACCATTCAGTAAAATTCAAAGGACAATAATATATCACTTTAAGGCTTACCCTTAGGGCTTTCTTTTTGAACCTATTCATAACAGAGAACTGCTTGAGCCTCATCCTTACAATATCCCCTAGTGGAACATTTGGAGCTTTCTTTGCATTTTGTAACCAAGGATGATCTGCAATTACGATGAGAAAGCAGTAAGAAGATAAAAATGGAATTCATGCTGCGGAAAAGATGGTGCTAAGTGACATTGTTTTGCTAAATGACATGCTGTAATGGTTGGATAATTCAGCCAGGAACCAAACTTCCAACTTAGGGAAAATGATTATATATCTGTATTGAACATGATAATAAAGCAAGATTGGAGTACGGCAATCACAATCATGAAGGAAATCTTTATTTCCATGAAAAATACATAGAAACAGATTCTCTAATCTCCAAATAATAGAGATGTCTGACATGACATCAAAGGAAGCCAAATATATCATGTTAAAAAGAATACAGACTAGACAGGTGCCAGACTGATTCAAAGCTTGACCAATGAATCGATATTGCTTTCTAGTTTTTGCTCGTAAATTTCATTGGGGCACACGCACAATAAACCAACTTTCTATGTCTGCTGAATAAATCAAACAGTACCCAGAATTGACCAAGTCAGCCCTTAACAGCTCCCACCAATAACTAGTTGAAACAAGAGGCATTTCAGAAATAAAAAACTAACCCAAGAAAGGAACTTATCATTGAAAAGAGAAGCAGCAGTAAACTAGCAAATGCATTAGTTTGGCCAATAGAGTAAAGGAAAAATTCTAATACTTTGAAATTTCGTATTTACATCACGTGATAGAGAACAATTATTAAAATGAAACAATGATATTTATTGGTAATTAAGAGAGATAATTGATCATGTTGTCTATATGCTGTTCCATGTCACTCGATATACCAACAACATCTTCACTATGCCTATAACAACCTAAGCTCACCGCTAGTAGATATTGTCTGCTTTGGCCCTCGTCGTCAGCCTCACGGTTTTAAAACACTTCTGTTAGGGAGAGGTTTCCACACCCTTGTAAAGAATGCTTTGTTCCCCTCTCCAACTGATTCAGATTTTACAAATGCCCTTTTCTAATAATTTGACTATGATGGTAAAATTGCAAAACTTAGCTCTTCAAGTACTAATGGTACTGAAATCTAACTTGTAGTTGAAACCAATGATAAAAACCATGAGAAAAAGTAACCATAGGATTCACTCTACAGGAACCCACCCATGGGGATTTCGTACTTCAACCGATAGCTTCAATGCCCATGCAAATCAGTATGATATGCTTAAAAAACGACCTGAATGATAACTATGAGAGATGCAGTGAAATAGAACACAGTAAACAACGAA